ACATTTCAGAGGGCTACCTCTGAGATTGTTGTCATGACTGAGTCACTCAATATTTGAGATCGCTGTGCAGCCTTCGGTAGCGGCCACTGAAAACTCCAGGTGATTTCAGCCTTTGATGGTAGGACAGATTTCCTAGGCCCTTGACATTCTTTGCGGTCTTGCGTTGTGGTTTCTGTATCAATTCTAAATTGCGCTTTCACCGAGGGTGCAAAGCTTGGATAACGTATTCAACGTGAGGGTGGACGTAAGAATTGTGCATCATGGGGAGGATGGATGGGTTGAATCTTCCGAATGCTCTTCGCAGCAAGCCTGCATGCTGTTTGGTTCTCTTAGCAGTTACCTCTGACTGCTTTGAACAGTTAAGATCACTTTGAATAAGCACACCAAGGTCGCGTTCTCTGGAAGTTGTTTGCAATACACGTGACCCAAGCCTATACACGTAATCATACCTATGGCGCAAAAGAACAGCGTGACATTTTTCACCTTAATCGGTAGTGTATTCAGAACTGACCACTTTAAAATCGTGTTGTAGTCACGCTGTAGCTTTTCGTGGTCTTTCGGTTCTTTGAGCGCTCGCCATAATTTGATATCATCCGCGAAGAATAGGAAATCGAAGTAATTTCCCTCGTCAGATCGTTTATGAAAATCAAAAATAGCCGAGGGCCGAGCCTTGGGGTACGCCGCACTGCACCTCAAATGTGTCGGACAGGGATTCTCGTACTCTCACCTGCAACCGATGTTCCTGCAGGAAATTGAAAATTCAACGCAGCATTGGGTCACCAACGCCATAGAGTTAAAGTGTATGGAGGAGAAACCGGTGGTCTGTGCAATCAAACGCTTTTGAGAAGTCCAGGTAAATGAAATTGACTCCTGCTCCACCATCAACTGCTTCAGCCCAGCTATTGCATGCAATTTGCAGCTTCCTAATGCATGAACGCTTTTGTCGGAAGCCATGTTGCTTTGGTGCTATCATCTTGTGATTTTCCAGATACTGCATGAGTGCAGCAGCGATGATAGACTCCATAACCTTGGAAAGCACAGGGAGTAGCGTTATAGGACGGTAATTGGTTGGGTCAGTGCGACTACTCCGTTCTGAATAGGAGTGATGACCTTTTGTTTCCATATTGCTGGAATTTGTTTCTCATCTAGACAGCACTGATAGAATATAGTCAGAGGTTCCGCGAGATCACTGGCTGCTACGTGTAAAACCTTTGGTCGAATGTTATGGACACCAGGAGGACTGTGGATACGCAGGAGCAACAGTTTTTTTGACACACTTTCTGCAGTAAAAACTGATGGTGGGACAATAGAAACAGGGATAACCGTGGGGCCCGTTACTGTCTGGAACCCATGTGAGTAACGCAACCGTAAGAGATCGGTTACTTCTGTTCCTGATCGAGTGCACCCGTCAGTCGTGAGCAGTGCTAGAATTCGCGTTGCACCTTACGAAGGCCATTAAAATGTCTGTAGAAGAGATTGCGGTTCGTTCAGAATCTCTTCATTGGCTCCCGCTGGTGAGTCTCCTTGTCCTTTCAGATCAAACTCACACAGAAGTTACGCTGTGCCACTTAGGCAATCCAGGTTTCGGAATTAGGGGAGTATTTGTGAGCTCTCCATGCTAAGTCCCTCGAGGACATTTGCGTATTCTGCTCCTCATAAATGACTGCCTTCTCCTTTGATGATGGAAGGATTTCTGCTCAGACGCATACGTTGCAATTGTGGTGAATGTCCTTGTGAAATTGTCCCAGGCGATTTCCAGGGGGCATTCAGTTAAGTAGGTCCAAGGTACCTCTTTAGCCAGCGCGCATAGCACGTTGTAGTGCATGACCGTATACACTTTGTCATCTTCCTCCTCAGGATATTCCGCCGAACATACATAGTTAAACAGTATAGTCACATGGTTACTGCGACCCAGTGGTGTGCTTATAATTATTCCGTCGGGCATGAATTCTTCGTTGGTGAGCACAAGATCAAGTATCGACGGTTTGTTCGCAGTTCGAAATCTGGTGGGAGAGGTCACGTTATTGTACAGAGGGTAGCTGGAAATTACCACTTATAAACAGTCTCTGAACTGCATGGTATCGGTCGCCGCTATTTCCAGATCGTGCACATTAAAGTCGCCTGCGATGAGAAGGTGACTGTGTGTCTTGCTCAAACCAACCTGAAGCACGTGGTTTAGTTTCTAGTCCATTTCACAAGTAGAATTTGGTGGACAGTAAATCACAGCTATAAGACATAAGTCTTTGTTCCGCAACCATAGCCCGCACCAAAGAGAATCTGGAGCGCAGATCTCTGAGTAGTCAATAACTTCACATCGAAACTTAGTCTTGTAATACGGAATTACGCCACAGCCTCTTCCAGCTCTATCATTCCGAAGTGGCAACCTACCAGGTAAATTGACTTCAGAACCTGCTATCTCAGGGCTTAACCGGGTATCTGTAATCATAATAAGCTCCCGCGGCTGTGACGCCTGGCGTTCTCCAAGTTCAGCCAACTTACTAAGAAGATCTTGGGAGTTTGTATCCAAGCATGATAGTGTTTTGACGTTAAAAATATGTGAGTGGACAACAAATTCGTGTTTAGTTTTAGGCCGACCGTACCTCGGTTGGCCGCTAACCGTTTTTTGCGTGAGTCATTCGTACTTGAATTTCTGGTAGGCTGCATGTTAGCATGGAGCCTCCCAGATCGAGATGTTCTCTCGGGTGTTTCCCTGTCCTGTCAATTGTCGCTAATGCTGTATTGTCTACAACTGCAGGATTATGAAGGCAAATATTTTACTGAGATTGCATGTCCCAAAGTAGTGCTGATAACTAGTAGCCGAGCGCTTGCTATCTTTTGCCTAACCTCGGTAGGCAACCTGGAGCGATGCTCCAACCAGCTATCCAATAGGACTTTGTAGCGCCCAAAAAGATAGCGCACGAACACGATTTGATCAGCTCAATGGTCTCAAGCTTGGAGATGGCAAGCCATCGGCATTGATCCGCGAACTTCAGCGCATCGCTGGTCCCTTATTCTTGAGCGAAGAATGGATAAAGTAGCTGTGGTTTGCACGTCTCCCAGAGCCATTGCCGGTAATGCTGTCCATGTTTATAGGTGCACCCTTGAAAGACTTAGCTACCAAGGCAGACGCTGCGTTCGAACGTTTTCCGCAGCAGACGACCAGTAACTCCGGTGACGTATTCTCACCGATGAAAACCGAATCCCAAGTTTGTTCCCAGTCGCTAGACCGATCTGACTCTAAAGACGAGGAAATTGCGCTAATTCGCAGCAGGATAGCAGCAATGAAGGCTTCGAAGCATCGGGTGCCACGGTCAAATGCTGACCACGTTTTGGCTACCGTTCATTGCGGCTCGTCTGTGCCTGCACGAAAGCGCCACATTTTCCTTGCAAGTTCTCAGTCAGATAATGTCAAGCCCGTCGAAGAAGTATGTTGGTATCACCGCCAATACGGTGGAAGAGCTAGACGTTGTCGGGCTCCCTGCATTAGGCACGACCCAGGGAAAACGAATAGCCCGCATACTAGCACTACAAACGTATCATTTAATAACCAAGTAAACCGACTGTTTTACGTTAAGGATCGACGTTCTTCCATCACGTTCCTCATCGACACAGGAGCGGAAGTCAGCGTCATCCCAGCGACCGCTAGCGACAAGCACTCGAAGCCTACGTACAATTTGCGTGCGGCCAACGGTTCTCCGATAGCTTCATTCGGTCAGCGCATGATGAACCTAGACCTCAATCTTCGCCGAGATTTTCAGTGGGTCTTCATGGTTGCGTCTGTACCCTTCGCAATTATCGGTATCGACTTCCTCCGACATTTTGGGTTGCTTGTTGATGCTGGTCGCCACAGACTTTTAGACTGCCGTACGAAACTGGGTGTTGGTGGTGTCCTTTCAGATGCCCCGGTAATCAGCCCTGTATTTCGGATCGCAGACGCACCGTCCGACTACTTGAGCCTCTTCTCCGAATACCCGCGACTGGTTCGACCAGCTGCAGAGCTTCCACCAGTCACAACAGAGGTCCCTCACCACATAGTTACGCGCGGTCAACCAGTTAGCGCACGGCCAAGACGGCTTGCTCCAGACAAACTACGGGCAGCACGAGCCGAATTTGACCACATGCTGCAACTTGGTATCGTCAGACCGTCCAACAGCCCATGGGCGTCGCCTCTGCACATGGTCCCGAAGAAGGTTGTGGGGGACTGGCGTTCTTGCGGCGACTATCGATCCTTGAATACGGTGACCACGCCTGATCGCTATCCGATCCCACACATAGTGGATCTCACCGCCAGTCTGGCGAGTAAAAATATCTTCAGCAAAGTCGACTTGGTACGCGCATACAACCAAATTCCGGTAGCCGAAGCGGACATCGCTAAAACTGCCGTGACGACTCCATTTGGTTTGTTCGAGTTTCTGCGCATGCCATTTGGCCTAAAGAACGCCGCGCAAACTTTTCAGCGTTTCATCGACCAAGTTTGTCGTGGTTTAGACTTCGCTTACGCGTATCTGGACCACATTTTAATCGCAAGCTCTTCACGAGAAGAGCACATACGCCACGTACGAACACTTTTTGATCGTTTATCTCAACAAGGGGTGACGATCAACGCAGAAAAGTGTTCGTTTGGTGTCGATTCAGTTAATTTCCTGGGCCATCGTATCTCTTCTGCAGGCGTCGTGCCACTGCAAGATAAAATCCAAGCCATTATCGACTACCCCGAGCCTCATTCTTTCAAACAGCTCAGGCGTTTTGATGGCTTGGTCAACTTTTACCGTCGATTTATACCCAACTGCGCCTCTCTGATGCAACCCCTCACGGACCTTCTCCGAGGGAAACTCAAGAAATTCGAATTCCCTGCCGCAGCACGCGCTGCTTTTAAGTCGCTGAAAGAGGCTATCGCCAACATAGCTTCTATAGCGCATCACGATCCGGCCGCCCCACTGTCCCTCAGTACTGACGCCTCGGACGTGGCAGTCGGCGCTGTTTTACAGCAACGCGTAGCAGACACGTGGCAGCCCTTAGCGTTTTTCTCCAAACGACTACAACCTACCGAATCTCGCTACAGCACGTTCGGTAAAGAACTACTTGCCGTATATCTAGCGATACGTCACTTTCGACACGTCCTAGAAGGCCGCTCCTTTGTCGTCTTCACCGACCACAAACCCCTAACTTACGTGCTCGGCTCGACTACCGACCGATACTCTCCTAGAGAGTCGCGCCACCTTGACTATATCGCTCAGTTTACGACCGATATACGGCATGTCTCAGGTGTGCACAACCCCGTCGCCGATGCACTTTCCCGCATTCAAGCTATCTCCGCTGACGCCGGCACTGCTATCGACTTGGCAGCCATGGCCACAGCGCAACTCAAGGACCCTGAGGTTGATCTACTACGCAGGTCTCCCTCATTGGACATACGACCTGTTCCGCTGACATCATCAGACGGCACTATACTGTGCGATTTATCTCTGGGCACGCCGCGCCCAGTCGTCCCACGTGAGTTTCGGCAGACCGTGTTCGACGCGTTGCACGGCTTGTCTCATCCAGGCGTTCGTGCATCGGTTAAACTCGTAACCGCACGATTCGTTTGGCGCAATGTTAATCGGGACGTCCGTACCTGGGCAGCTGCTTGCCTTCCGTGTCAACGCGCGAAGGTGCACAAGCACACGAGAAGCCCATTAGGCACTTTTCCGACGCCAGACGCACGCTTTCATCACGTGCACGTCGACCTCGTAGGTCCTCTGCCGCCTTCCAAAGGCTCGGTATATCTACTGACCTGCATCGATCGATTTACTAGATGGCCTGAGGCCGTCCCTATCCCAAATTGCTCCTCGGAAACAGTAGCGAAAGCTTTTATGGAGCGCTGGGTAGCTCAATACGGCTGTCCCGCCATCGTGACCACCGATCGAGGGTCGCATTTTTCGTCAACGTTTGCCACGTTGCTTAAGGATTTAGGCTGTCGCCACGTTCAGACGACAGCGTATCATCCGGCCGCTAACGGCATGGTGGAGCGTTTTCACCGCCAGTTGAAGGCAGCGCTACGTGCGCACGCAGATCCTTCATGGTCTGAAACGCTTCCCCTCGTTCTCCTAGGTTTAAGAAACACGGTTAAGACTGACTTCGACGCCACACCAGCGCAGCTAGTCTACGGTTGCACGCTGCGGTTGCCCGGACAGCTGGTAGCACCAGCCCCATGTACTTCCACTTTTGACTACGGAAGTTACACTGACCGATTGGCTCACCAGATGCGTGAGCTACGTCCACCCGCTCCTCGATCGCAGAAGACACCAGTGTACGTGCCCGAGAAGCTGTCTACGTGTTCACACGTCCTTCTTCGCGCAGACGGTGTTCGACAGCCTCTTCAGTCGCCGTACATAGGACCCTTCAAGGTGCTGCATCGTGCGAGTAAGGCGTACACTATTGACCGCGGTGGTCGACACGAAGTCGTCACCATCGACCGTCTAAAACCCGCCTTTATGGAAGAAAACCCCTCGCCTACTTCGTCTAGTAGTGCTTCGTGCGACGTTGCAACTCATCGCACCAACTTACATCATCCTAGTCCAGTTCAACCAGACCACGATCTCGGTCTGCAAGCCGTCCCAACCTCTCCCGAATCTAGCCCGCCGCCTCCCACGACCAATCGCCGTGGTCGGGAGGTGCGTAAGCCCGTCCGCTTCTCCGACTATGTACAGTGTAAATACTTTTAACTTTGTAGATATTGTATATATTTGCCTCATTTTTGGTCGATTAACGTTTTGAAAACAAACAAAAATATCAAAAACCCCCGAAAAACCTTTTTCGAAAAAAATATTCAAAAACCAAAAAATATTTAAACACGCAGCTCATTCGTTTGTTCTTTTTGGCGTTTTCTGCGCGTGTCTTTCTATTTTCTCGTTTTTACATGCTCCAACCCTCCCCTTCGATCGACTGGCCCACACGAGGAATGTGTTTCGAGGACCCTGACGCGAACACTGGTCGCTTCTCCGCGGGACGAGGATCGCTTCTCCGCGGGACGAGGATCGCTTCTCCGCGGGACGAGGATCGCTTCTTCGCGGGACGAGGATCGCTTCTCCGCGAGACGAGGGTCGCTCCTCCGTGGGACCATGGTCGTTTTCTTCGTGGGACGAGGGTCGTTTTGGCGCGGGGCGGGGTGCGGCGGGGGGAGAGACCACTCCCAAGCGCACCGTTTGGCAGCAGCGGAGGTTGAGGTCCTGTCGGCCTTTTTCTGGGCTAGCCAGTTTTTTTGTAGTCCGACAAGCCCGCTCCAACGGCTCGCCGAAATGCACCCTGCCCTGCATTCAATAAATAACGAATCATAAACGGCACAGCGGACTCCGACTTCCGACGAACCCCCATTCACACGAACGCTCATTCATTTTTACTTGGCACGATTTCGCCTTACGAACCTCGTTTCGACATTCCTTTTCGATTTCGAAGGCTTTCTATGTTCAGCCTTCTAGGGGGGAGCTCTGTAGCGCCCAAAAAGATAACTCTTATCTTTCGTGTACAATTTACTTGTTGACCGATTGTACATTACTCCTTCTTGTTTTAATCTTACAACCGGCTCGACACACAACTGCCTTGTAAGTTCCCGCGCTCACGTGTACGCTCTTGCCTCGCTTCATCCGTCCGCTTCTTGTTGTAGCCCATCGAATACAGTCCGCTGTGTCCGACTCCAATTGCCTTCTGATATCCGCGCTTAATTACGCGCATCGTCTCGGACTAGTATTGACTAGTCCTACAACTTCTCTCATTCCATCGGAGTGTAGCACGACTTCCAATCTTTTTGCACCACAGTCCTTGTAGTTTGGAGATGAAGGAATTCTCGTTAGTGATTTAACCCTAATGTGGTCCAGAGAGAGTGCTTAGCGGATGTAGTACCACTAATCTCGGTCATGTTTTTGCGCTTCATTAGCAGGAGAGCCCAGTAGTTCAGGAAAACTGTGAACAAATACGGTCTTCTTGCTTACGTTCGTAGAAGGGCCGCCATGGTTTTCTTTTTCCTGTGCTCGTCAATTCCAAGGAATATCTGGTGGTGTGCGTACCCCGAATGATGAGTTGCAAAAAGGAACTGCTAAAGGTAGAGCTATCTCTGTCTCCTCAGTCGAACGCAAGTTTACTACAAAAAGTCGGGGTTCGCCGCAGTGCACTGAATTTGGGTGACGCGCTACGCGTCGTAGCCCAGTTGGGTCAACCCGAATACCGATCGCATCACAAATGGAATGCCACTGGTTGCGATCATCTATCAACTTGCCTTTTATTGGGCCAGAGCTGGACAAGAACGTTAGTGCACACGACCGTCAACGCACTTTGCTTCTGTTTAGCGCATGTCGGTTTGAGTGTTGTGGTTGGTAACTGGATTGTTTGGCGGGCTCTGAAGAACGTTGTGAAAGCGGCGTCGCAAGGTTCCTGCTTGGGCCAGAAAATTGACGCATGGATGTCTCTTTAGGCGTTTTTATCCAGGCGATCGATGCGTATGTTACCCGGCTCTGGATTGTCGGTGTCGGTGTTCTGACCAACTCGTGAGATATGACATCTAGGGATGAGTTAATAGCAGTAACGCCGAATGTGGCTTGCCTACTTAAAGGGTTAGTATTTGTCGAAGTACGTGACACAAATGCCTTCGGGCTGTCAGTAAGCTTGACTTTAGTCTTCGGCTTAGAATCAGAGCTCTGATGGGTTTGCTGTGGAGCAAGCTCGGTGTTGTTAGGTTCTACTGGCAAAGCCCTGAAGCTCGTCGTCTGCTGGACTGTTTCGGTCAGTTTTTAACATTTTTCACGGACGATATTGTATATTTGACTTTTGGGATTGCTCTGCATGTTTGGTAAAGCCAGAGCAATTCAGTCAGCTTGATTTATCTCTTGTATTGTAGTTGACTTAAACCAGCATAGAGAGGTAGAACGGAAGGCTGCAAAATTCACAAGTAATGTCTCGTCTAACTGGGCGTGTATTTCTGCTTACAACATTTCCAGTTAGGTGGAATCACGTCCATTAAGGGCCGTTGTTGCAAGCAAAATCTGCCCTTGTCTGGTCACGTGCGGTAGAGGGCGAGTGAGCTCGTGTTCTTTGTTCCAGTCGCACTCTCGACGTTGGTTACCGTAGGTGGATGTGCACGACGAGGACACACGTACACGGAGTTTGGCTAGCTTATTGATCCACACTGGTTCTTGTAGGACAATCCGTTGGAATTGGTTTGTAGTGGGTGGATGACAGTGAAAAGTGCCGGCGGTGGGCGAATGCAATTGGAATCACAGATTGAGTCGTAGCTTTGTTTGAAAGTATCCTATGCATATAATTCTGGGACCACCAGATAGTGCGGAGAATGCCTGGTCGACAACAGTGTCACAGCAGTGAAAACTGTTAAAAACAACGGAGTAATGCGTCTGGATAGAGCACGAAGCGCACTAAAACAAGTTGGGTAGCACAAGCCACTTTCCGTAGGAAATAATTCCGTAAAAATATGTCCACTGAACACGGGGAGTTAATCTGATTCGAATGAGTCTATGATGACTGCGCTAAGTGAAGAGGAGAACGTGAAACTCTTGAACAGAAAGGATCACGTTTACTATGTGACCAGTCAGGTGCATACCAGAGTAGTGAATGTGGAATACGCAATCCAGACTTGGCACTGCTGTCACAAACAGGACCTCGCTGCGCACGAGACTCCACAGCAACGAGCCACGTAGCGCTTCAAAGGGTTGCTCCCTTTCTTATCAGCTTAGGATGACTCTAAAATTATACAGCAGTCTGTATCTGCGCTTATGTGGCGACCATATTATGACCTACTAGGTTCTAAAGAACCGCAATCACGTCTGCTGCCATCTACGAAAACTCGGTCACAACACGAATTTGAGGGTCCACCAATTCATGTTAGTCATGAAATACTGTCGGCTGGAATGTCAGCAATACCTTTGGTCCGCTCGTGTGTGTCAGCCAGCGAACACCATTCTAACTTACCTTGTTACCGCCCCACTTTACCTGTGTTTAAAAATCGCCTTGACGTTGCCTTAACCTGCCTACGTTACTAGCTATAGCCTGTGCGTAACGACAGAACATACAAAGTGACGAAAGTTGCACAACCGGAATTAACCTATACAACTCATTTTGGCATTTTCTATATGCCTCTGTGTGAAGGATATGGTGAGTCCGCCAAAACGCTTTTCATTTTATCCCTGTTTTCTATTCACCGTATTGTGATTCCCATTCTGGCCATCTTGGGGGACTTGCTAAACATCTGCTTTTTGCCCATAATATACTATTATTCCGTTGTTCCATGTAGGTATATTTTTCGCAGTTTGAGAAACTAATCCTGTTGTGTATGCGTCCAGCATACGTGGGGCTGCTCTACATTGACACGTACACACAACCCAAGACACACACAATGAGTACATGATTAGCTGCCTCCGTATTGGTTCATTCTTCTGCTGACCTCACCTCATGTACTCACATAGTTAGATGCTTTTCAGGTTGCAGTAGTTTGTTTGTCGAAATGGATCTTCTTAATTCTGTTCGTGCATGTGAGTTTCGTACACAACAGTTTTTAAATCAGGCACGGTTCACTATGTACAGAAATAATCATGCTCTTGCATGTGTGCGTGATTTGTCACGCGGAGATAAAATGTTCGCATTTACTGTCACACTTTTCATCACACACACGTGTACTTACACTCATTCGATCCAGCTCACCTCGCCATTTAGTGTACTTTATCTTCAGGATAGTTTGCATGGATCATCTTTTATGTCTACATTGTGCTTTTTGCACCGTTTTCACGGAAACACAATCAAGGAATTTTCCTACTCCCGAGCCACACAGCAACACTTATGATTTCACACGAAAGCTAACAGTGATCTATACGACGAGCCTACAGCCATAGTTATCGACTGCTAAGCGAAGTAGTTATTGGGCATTTTGTGTCTATCGTTCATTCGCTTTATTTAAATCACAGAGATTTAAGAGCAAACGATCCATCTGCATAAACCTAAGTTACCAGTCGTGGACTTTGAAAATACCGCAACAGATAGACAGTCACACCATGGACCGGAAGGGCATCGATCGACGCAATGGGGTGCAACGAACAAGCAACTAATGCCACTTTTTCCACCAACAGACTGACAGTAGTAGGTGACTTTTCTTCATGTCCGAAAAATGTACGTGTAGGAATCAAGAGTCTCAATTGCCTCAACAAGGTTCCTTCGAATTGTTCTAAGCTCATGGTAAACCAATAGGCGATACACCATATTGAATCAGATGCTATATGGCTCTGCGAAGTTTGTATGGTCATCCCACTGGTAAGGATAGTACAAGAACTATCAGAGAACTACGAAACTTAGTCGATGGTGACTGAATAAATGATGTATTTGAAGAAGGTGGGACGGTGAGCAAACCCCAGTCCTTCTCTTTAGACTCCGCTTCAAAATAAAAATGAATTGCTAGGCAGCGCACTAAAACTGCCCCACTTTCGGCTTTAGTCGTCAACGCCACCAATTGCCTAAATCCACCGAAAAAACCACCGCCAGTCCGATTGGGCTAAGTACGGCCAGAGCTTCGTCCGTTTTCCATACTCTACCGAATTTTCGGATAAACATTGACACTGGTGTTAGTTGGAAAATGGTAGCTGCCAAAGTCAGCCTGGAACTTAGGTCTTCAGTTACTCCCACTAGGCCTAACATACATGAAGAATGCGGAGTTGCACTTCCTCAGCCTCCACCAGTTGTATGCAACACAGGTGGGTGGTTGACCTCAACCTTGGTTGCACATAGTATATCATCTGTAATCTGCACCAACGTTTAAGTATCAACCTCAAATTCTTTAAACGAAAAATAACCTACTGATGTTAACCAGTGATAGTCTATATGTGACATCATAAGTGTTGTAGTTAAGCCCGTCAAGTTGACGTGCGTCACCCGTCACCCAAACTCAGCTCACTACAGTGAAGCAAGGATTCTCCAAATTTTATTGACATCCGCCGATGAAGCTGAACCTGTGCTGCTAACGACAACTAGCCTCCCAAATGTGTCATGTTCCATTCGCGTCTTCCCAGGTATTCGGTGGAGCGAGCACAAACTGGCGAAGCACCAGTTGGAAGAATACCGGAAGGCATCCGTAGACCGGACTATCACTGTACACGTTATTCCTGAGGCTGGAGGTCATGATCAGCGCGACGTGACCACTCACGACCATGTGCATTGACGATACGTTCGACAGACCTGCACCCTAGAAAATATAATAGTGCTATCCATCTCGATGCTACGCACTTCGCCAAATTACAAAGTAAGTGGCCCGAGGATTGTGTGCGGGCCACAGCAGCCTTCTTTCCTAGCTTTGATCAACGCAGCGTCCCCTAAGCGACCACACGACAGCAGCCATTTAGTGTTGCCACTTCCCGACAACAGTTCAGATAACTTCTTTCCGCTAATCAATAAAACTGGAAAACACACCCAATACACTGCATACAAAGAGAGGAGCATAGAGCTAACGTCAGGATCCCTGGATCTGAAAAAGATGAATTCGTCATCGCCCCACCCAAAAAACGATTAGTGGCCGACCTTACACCGGTCGGCACAACATTATACCCAAAACACATCCAACGCCCCATTGGTAAGACCAAAGAAAGGTTCCTGCATGCAAATCGATACAAAAGGTCTTTTGAACAAGCTTGTCGAACTTCGGATGCGTCAAGCATCATGGACCTAGGATC